TTTTTTGGTGGAACCAGGGATTGAACTCAGACCCTTGCACTTGCCAGGGAAGCACCTATTCTACTGAGCCATCTCCCCTGCCCCAATGTCCTGAAATTCATATGAAACCAGAAAAGAGCTAGAATAACAAAAGCAATCCTGGATAATGAAAGCAAAATAAAAGACATTAGAATCCCAGTTTTGAAGTTATATTACAAATCTATTATGATTAAAACTGCATGATACTCATACATAAACAGGCATTTGAAGGTCATCCAGAGAGTTCAGCAGATTAAATGGCCTGCTTTGGCAAATACGGATTCTGGTATTCATTCTCCTGCATTCTGTGCTGGCCCTGCCACCAGGGCAATCTGAGACACTGGCTGAGACTGGGTGTGGTGCTGAGCACTGTAATCCCAGCATTTGTGGGGCTGAAAACAAGAGTATTACGCAGTCTGATCTGTGTAGTGAGACCCTGTAGATTCTATACTAAATACATTAAAAAAAAACAGGCATTTGGATCAGTGAAGTTTAATAGAGGATTCAGAAACAATTCCAACAAATTCAACTCTTTGATGATTTGACAAAGGTACCAAAAGGATGCCATACAATGGAGGAAAAATTACCTCTTTAACAAATCATGCTAAAAATACTTGATACCCACATGTAGAAGATTGACATAGATGCTCATCTCTACCATGTATTAAAATAAACTCAAGGAGGAACTCAGAACTTTGGCAAGATATCCTCAGCCAGAGGAATGAAAACTGTAGCTCAGCCAGAAGAGTTGAGACTGGTGTGGAGATACTTGGAGCTTTGGGGAAGTAGTTTGGCCTGAGGAATCCAAGTGCCTGGCCATCATCCAAATGAAGTGAAGCACCTGGAACTTGGAAGACAGCCTAGCCAGAGGAACACAGTAAATACACTCTGAAAAGGGGAAAGATTTTGCATACCAAATTCCAATTTAGAAATTGTTTTGTTATATAACTATACACTTTGCTCTTATGGTGCAAAGCACAAGACCAATATTTATCGAAGTTGGTCAATTTCTATATTTTGCTTGATGCTATTATTGCTATTCATACTAGAATATCATATCTGCTTTAAGAACTTGTTCTCTCTTGAGCAACACTATTGCGACAACCTGAAATAATAACCTCTCCAAAGCTCTACACCTAAAGATGGAGGATAATGCCAAACAGAAGCCAACATTCCACTCTCAATTAATTGGGACGGTAGGATCTCAGGACAGACATAAGCCAAGAATCTCCAATATACAGAAGATATCCCAAAAGAGCAGTGTTCCTAGAGTGGCCTTGATAATATTGGTATTTCTACCTACTATCAAAATTTCACAAAACTTATCCAGAATTAAAAATAGAGTTCTGATCAGTAGCCAGACCTGGCGTGTGTGTGGGGGACCTTCCGTGCATGCAGGATGCTACCTCACCCATCCCCCAGGCCTGTTCTGTGTATGGGGGAGGTGGGGGGAACCTTCCATGTGCCTGCTGGAACCTCCTCCATCAGACAGGCCTATTGTTGAACCCTACAGCAGAACTCCCTACAGAAAGGCAAGGGACAAGATCCACCCAACCAATCCAGGAGCAGAACATCTTGCCAGAGTGCCACAGAGGGTCCACTTCTATGGACTGCAGCAGGATGAAGTACAGCACAGCAGCCAGACCCAAGCCAGGCTCATCAGGACAAGTTCAACTTGGTAGATCCGAACCTGGTAAGCTGAGACACTTTGCCAGACCCAGATCTATGAGAGAATCCTTTCTCTTTCACTCTTGATTGAGAGAGGAGAAGACAAGTAACTGGGGTGAACTAGTCTGCCTAGAAGACTACAGGAGAAAAGGGGAGGAAATTAGATAGAACTTATGGGAACTAATTTAAGGAGAAATTCCCAATCTAATAGCTGCTTAGCTATACAGTCATAGTGTTTGTTCTTAGGGCCTAAAAGGCAAAACCATTAGATAGAAAAGTTTGTCAACTGATAAATATCACTACTGATTATTAGTGTTGCTAGTTATAGTTATGTAATACAACACTGTACGTGCCACATAACCACATAATCTCTGTTGGGTGACAATATTGGTACATGCTAAGGTAACAACAATAGCAAAGATCTAAACCAAAGGTCAGAAGACAGTGCTATAAAAATGACAAAGAGAAGGATCAAAATGCATTCTCAGGCCCTGAGCCAACCCAGATCAAATGCAGGAGACGCCAGCATAAAAGAAATTGCAAAACACATGCATCAAATATCTGAAATAATGGCGTGTGAAGTGAAGAAACAACTGCCAAAAAGTATAGAGAAACCAGATTAGAAATATACCCTGACGTAAAAAAAGAAATGATAAATATATTGCAAGAATTGTTAAGTGATTCTAAAGAAGACACGGATAAAGAAGCAGGAATAGAAAAATGATGGAATCCTTCAATGAGCAATATGGGAAAGAAATAGAATGCATGAAGCAGATTCAAAGAGGAAAATAAAACCTCAACCACAAGCTGGTAAAACCACTTCAATGAAAGTGAAGATAGAGTTTTAGACCTTCAAGACACCGTTGCAGCTAATGAAAAGATAAGAAAAGAACTCCTAAAAACAACAAGGATGCAGAAAAAAATAATTCAACATTTGCAAGATGATGCAAAGATGAACAACTTAAGACTAATAGCATCAATGAGAAATAAGGAGACAATACAAAAGATATAAAAAGAATATGGGCAGAAGTAAAAGCAGAAAACTTCCCAACTATGCGTAAACATTCTGACATTCAGGTAACTGAAGCATATAGAACTCCAAATAATACCAACACAATTAAAACCACAATTAGACACACAATAATCAAGATCCTAGAAAGTCATAAGAGAAAAGACAGATCATATTTAAAGGAAAGCCCACAAGAATAATGGCAGATTTATCTTCACAAACCATCAAGTCAAGAAGAGCATGAAACAAAGTACTACAAGTTTTCCAAGAAAACAAGTTCCAAACTCTGCTATACCTTGCAAAATTCTCTTTCAAATTTGATGCAGAAGTGAAATTCATCCATCACAGAGAACAACTAAAGAATTTCATGATGCCAAAGCCAACCCTACACAGACTACTAAAAGATATTTAGTAGTTCAGGGGATTAAAGTGTCTCCAACCAGGTGCAGGGGCTAAGGGTTCAATCCCTGGGCCTGCCATGCTGGGCCCGCCCTAGGGACACACATAGACAACAATTGAGATTGGGCATGGTGGGGCACACCAATAATCCTAGCTCTTGGGAGGCTTTAAGCAGGAAGATCACTAGGAGTCCAAATGAGTAGGGAGAACTTGAACATCCTGTAGACTCTTACCTAAAAATAAATACAAAAATAAAATGAAATAAAAGATATTCTAGAGAGGGACCAAAGTAACGACAGCTTCATGAATGAGAATGCAAAGAACACATCACATAGGGCAAACAATTAAACACAGGAGAAAAAGTGGTTTACAACAGCAGGTAAATAACATGTCAATTATAAATCAATGCATCTGTTATAACCATCAATGCAAATAGACTCAATTCACCAATTAAAAGAAATAGACTGACACAGTGGATTAAGAAACAAAATCCAACAATATGCTGCATACAAGAAAAACACTTAACTCATTAAGAAATTCATAGGTTGAAAGTCAAAAAGAGGAAAACAATATTACACTCCCCACCACCTAGGAAAAAAGCAGGGGTAGCAATCCTGTTCTCAGACAGTCTCAACTTCAAACCAACAACGATCAAGCAAAATAAAGAAGGCCACTATTACTGGTTAGGGGAAAAGTTCAAGAGGAAGAGGTAACACAAATATGTACACACCAAACACAGGATCAACCAACTATATAAGACAAATTTTAATAGACATGAAAAATCTAATATCCAATACCATAAAATTAACAGGAGACATTACCACTCCCTTATCCTAAAAAGATAGGTCATGCAGACAAAAAATTAGCAAAGTAGCAGAACTGAATCAGAGTTTGGAACAAATGGACTTAGTGGACATATACAGAGTGCTCCACCCAACTAGCTAAAAAACATGACTACATGTTTTTTCAGCTGCACATGGGTCATTTTATAAAATACACCACATAATTATCCATATATTATGCTTAAGGATATGCAAAAAAGCAGATGTGATTCCACACATATT